CCCCTCAGCTTTAGCCACTAAGAGCACCACCACCTGTGCACATTCACTACATACCCTTATAAAAAGGGCCCTGCTCACTTCCCATCTTTCTCTCTTTCTCATGCTCTGTATGTTCCCCCTCTCTCCCTTCCTCTCTCCCCCTCTCTCTCTCCTCTTGCTCCCTCTTGTCTGCCATAAGACAAAGACCCTCCCATGTCACATGGTTCTGCCTCTACTCAAGCATACAGGGTCCAGTGGCCATGGGCTAAATAAAGCCTATTAAAATGTGAACAAAAGAAATCTCCCCTCCTCCAAGTTATTTCTGAAGGTTATTTGGTCACAGTGGTGAGAAGAACCACTAATACAGTATCCACAGAGTCCCTCCATCATGGCCTGGTGTTTGGCTCTCCCTCATGCTTCGCCTCTGGGGAGCTCTCTTGCCTATTGGCCTTCATTTCTATTGCTTGCAAGGGGAAGACCCATGAATGAAACTGGCTTGCTGGCTGTGGGAGAGTGCAGGTCAGAATCTGACTTCCAGCTTCTTGGTTTTTCCTCTCCACCCCAAGGCCCAAGCATGAAGCCAAGAAGCCGAGTGGTAGGAAAGAGCCTCTGAAAATGCAAAGGTGGTGAATTTCTCTTTCAAAGACCCCCCCTGGTAGCCCTCTTTTCCTGCTCTCCATGTAGTATGCCAGCACCTTTTCTCCCTGGGGAGCCCCGCAGTCAGGGCCAGGCAGACGATGGCTTCCAAGAGTAGTAGCTGCCCACAAGAGACTGGGCTGTCCCGGGTAGGCTGGGCAGTGTATTCAGCAGTCACCTCTGTTTATCAATGTCTAGATTCCATTCTGCATCACAGTCTGGGTCAGAGAATGTGCAGGGAGCTTGTGAGAGCAGAATCACATGGATGTGCAGGCATGGCCCAGTGAGTGAAACTCGTCTTGGGAACTTGTACACACATTTGCCCAGCTCACTGTCCCTGCCAGACCAGTGATTGCTCTGCAGTCCTGCCCAGAAGCCCTTTGAGGAGTTGAGCTGTACCATTCTTGAGAGTCATCAGCTAAGAAAATTGGTCTTGATCCCATAACCATGAAGAACAGCTGCTGTCACCTAGTGTCTGAACAGTGTCACAACTCCAGCTGAGTGGTGGGAATGGGGCAGTTGGCTAGGACTGGCTCCCCTAAGGGACACAGGAGGAGTTGAATGACTATGATAGATAGATGCCCCCCCCCCATCTTGATTCAGAAAGTCATCCCATGTGGCCAGAAAGGCTGGCTACTCAAGAGAAACTCCATGATGTTTTAAATGCTGTTAGTGCTATTGTTTTTAAACACCCAAGGGCTGGGGAATGTAGCTCAGTGGTTGAGCACTTGCTAGCATACACAAGGCTATGGATTCCATCCACCACACTGGAAAACAAACAAACACATCAGCCTCTGCTCTTGATTTAAATCCCTTTAAAGCCCTGGAAGTTTCTCACTGGCTTCTGGCTTTCCCTAATGTCCACTCTGCCAGCCTAAGGCTCTGGCCACTCCAGCAACTTTATGTGACACCCAACCTTTGCTTGCTGCCTCCTGTACTGGGCTTTTGCTCAGGCCGAATCTCCCTCTTTCCTGCGCCTGCTCGACTCACTTTGGCTGCTGTGCCCACCACCCAGCATGCCCGCTGCCCTTATTTGTGGTGTTTCAGAGTTCTCATGATGGAGTTCTGACAGCTCCTTCCTGCTCTACCTCATCAGGCAACAATAACCGATTTCAGCCAAGACTCATTGCCCCAGCCCAGCCCCTCAAGTGTCCACAGCTCACCAGGACCTAAAGTCTGGAGGTCTCTCTCTGGTCCCCTATCAATGCCCTTCCCTGCAGCCACCTCAGCTCTACTGGAGTGGGGCTTAACTGTCCCTGGCCTTAAGACTGCATCCAGCTGGCCTCCTGGGTGCACTGATAAACTCATGCCACTAACCTCAAGTGGAAACTGGAGCTTCTCAAATGCCTTAGCTCTGCCCTTGAACAGCTTTGCTCCACTCTGTGAGATCACTCATTCGTCCTTCTCCAAGCCCAGCCCCCACCCACCCTCCCTCTGCTCACAGTACAAACAGCAACACTGGTCAGACATGTCTACAGCATCCGTAGACCTGTGTCCACATGCTGTCTCCTCCATCTCCAAGAATGGGCTCCCTGTTCTGTTCTAGTCTCCAGAGCATCCAGGTCCACCCACCATCTGCCAGTGGCCGGGGCTGGGGGATGTCCTTCTGTAGGCTGTGAATATATGGTTCTCTTATTGGCTGATGAATAAAGCTGTTTCAGCCAATGGACAGGCAGGCTGTAGCCAGGCAAGAAGTATAGGCAGGGCTACCAGATTAGGAAAATTCAGGGAAGAGAAACACAAGAGTATATGAATCACTATTGGGACACCATGTAGCTACTGAGAAAGCAAGAGGCTTGGGCACTGCCAGTAAGCCAAGACTACGTGGAGATACACAGATTAATATAAATGGGTTAATAATTAAGAGAGAGCTAGTCAATAAGAAGCCTGAGCCATCAGCCGAATGGTTTATAATTAATATAAGCCTCTGGGTGTTTATTTGGGACTCAATGGTTATGGGACTGGGAAGGCAGAAACTTCTGTCTATAGGGGCTAATGCTTTCTGGGTCCTATCCCCAGCACCAGAAAGCAAACAACAAACTCTGGAAGCCAGGATGCTCTTCCATCTTTCTTTTATTTCATGTAAAAGTCCAACTGCGCCAAGCCCAGCCTGAGTCACCTCTGGCTCCCTCTGTCCCAACCCCACAGGCCCTCTGGCTCCTGGATCCCACTCTCTTGCCATGGGGACTTGTTGCTCTGCTTTTCTATCACCTCCTCTAGCCATTTTCAAGGTCTCTTCTAAAGAACACCCTAGGCCACTCTGTTTACAACTGTGTTGGTGATACCTGCCCAGTGTGGGAAATGCATATTTAATGCCACCAAGCTGAACACCCAAGACAGTTAAAGGGGCAGCAAGCTTTAACCCCCAAAGCAAATGAAGGTGTTGCCTGCTGAATGCCTAACTTGTCACACTTAAGGGAAACAAACTGGGACCAAGGATAGGGGCGGGATCAGCACAAATCCCAGGGTGGTCTCTGCCTCCTCCCACCGCTAGCAGCTCAAATGTCACGAATGATTTGAAAGTAGATCCTGAACCCAAATGATGCACTGAACAGACACCGAGTGCCCTGCTGGCCTGAGGGTCCTCTGGGGCAGCCTGTCAGGGACAAGAATCAGCCAGCATGGTGTTTGGAGTCATCTCAGAGCTCAGTTCTCTCACTCAGTGGGAAGCAATGAGAATTTGCACGTGAGGCAAATACATGGGTGTTTGGTGCAGAGTTCCAAGGTTTTCCAAGATGCCTGACTCACATTCATTTCTAGTGTCTTTGCTTAGGCAGAGGTTGCAGAGTTTGGCCTAGGAATCCATCCACTCCGCTACCCCACAATATGTGCATTCTTCAGAAGTACCTGAAGAGGGCCCCAGCCCTGGGGTCCTGGACAATCTACACTCAAGTCAGGCTGGCTGCCAACCACCACCTTGAGCAGTTGAGACTAGTGTTACTTTGTAGACCAAGGGGATCCCTCCATACGCAAAAGTAGCCTTCATCTATCCTGGGATCTGACCAACAGTGTGCAGCCCAGCACCCAGGGCATTTGCTAGCCTAGAGTCTCTCCTCACTTGGCTGGATAAGCTCACAGATGGGGACAGCACATGGGTGCAGTAGAGAAGCCAGGAGCTCAGGGCTGGTCATCCCAACACACAGGCCAGCATCTCAGTGTCTCTAGGAGGGTGGGGAGCTGGAAGATGTTGGAGTGCATCAATGGATACCCGCCCTCCTGGCTACCTGGTCCTGAAGGACACCGGTGCTACATCTCTCCCCACAGGCAGCTACTTTCCCTGAGCACCCATTTCCCAAAGCCAGGCACTCTCAATGACACTTCCTGTCCCTGGCCTTAGCTATGCCACCTGTGAACTAAGGGGGCCATGAAAACTTGCCCTCCCACCCATGGCCTGAGGTCAGGAACAGGGTGAGTTCCCATGACGCAGGTCAGTAAGCATCTGTTGACCTGGTTCACAGGCATCCTGGGATCTCTGGGCCATGATGGCTCTGCCTTCCCAGGAACAGTTGAGAAGTTGTACTGACAGTCAACTTGGGACTGGCAGATCAAACCATCTCTAAGGAAAGAGGGTGCTAAGTCATAGGGTTTCTGTGTAGTCCCCTGGAGCCAGCACAGCTGAAACTTACTGTGGTGTGGCAACAGATTCCCAGGCAGAGATGGGTCCCCTCTGCCTCTCACGCCAAATCCAGTATGTATAGCAAGAAAGTATGTGCGGTGGTGGCACATCACTGAGAGCACTAGGCAGCAGTGTTCACAAACAAGTCTACCCACTACCAGGACAGATAACCTGGGGTTTGTGTTAGCACCCTCAGAAGTCCCCTTTCACATGGTTCACAGCTGTCGTCCAGCTACTAAGGAGGCCACAGCAGGATTTCTTTAGGCCACGAGTCTGAGACCAACCTGAGCAACACAACAAGAACCTCTTAAAGCAAGCAACTACCTTCCTAGTTGCTGGCTCAAAGATTCAGGGCCGATGCATCCTGGGACTGAGTCTGTGGCTCAGCTCTGAGGGTTGGAATCACACAGCCCCTCCCTCATGCTTCACAAGTCACCAGTGTGCTGGGGACTTCGCACCATGACAACCTCGCCAGGTGGGTATCCTGAGGCTGGAGCAAAAGGAAGCATGACTGTTCATCTGTGCATAAGAGGCCGAGTTTTGCTCTGGGCCTGCCCTCCAGTGGGGTGGTAGAATCCAGATCAGGATGGATGGTTTCATCTTTGCTCCCACACTGGTGACCACATCCACAAGTTTGTTCCTGCCTCACCTCCCCCTTGCAAAAGTCCAACACTGTACATCTCAGGACTGGGTGCAATTACACCAGTGTCTTTTTATTGGACCTCTCATGGCCAACTGGATGCCTTGAGCTACTATGTAGCTCCTTAACTGTTCAGTCCTCTTGACCTTCGAGAAGAGAGAATACTAGCTCGGGTACTTTTGTGATTTTACCACAACTTAGTCCCTGGGCTTTGGGCTCAAGCTGATTCATTGAGACAAGCCTACTGCCTCCCCATCTGTGCTGGGGGAACACAGACTTGAGGAGGCTAACTGGCCTGGGAGTTCTAAGCAGTGGGCTCTGGCCTGAGGCAGCACCGGCCCTTTTGAGACCCCCGTCAAATCCTCATAGTGCAGCACATGGATGGATGCTCTAACCTACAGTTTGGTGTTGAGGTGGAAGAAATGGGGTGCCGCATAGGTCGTGACGGGTGGCACGTGCCAGGCAGATGAAGCTGGACCCAGTCTGTTGCGGAGGGCAGTGTCATAGCATGTGGGAGGGAAATGCATCAGGCTGGTAGCCATGGGGGAGGGGCCTGCTGTAGCCAGGAGATGGGCTGGGAAAGCTGGGATGACCAGGGGACTGAAGGGGAGTGTGGCCTGGCCCTTCAGAGGGTCTGAGCTACTTGTGAAGTTCAGAGGACACCGCAGCATGGTGCCCCTGTAGGCCTCGGGAGGAGTGGGCGCCAGGGCTGGGCCCAGTAGACAGGATACAGCCACGCCAGGCGCTGCAGGCTTGCCCCCGCACTCCTTGGCATCCACCTCCTTCAGAAAGGGAGACACTGCCCTCAGTTTCTTGCCACCATGAGTGAAGCCCTCTTCTTCCAAGTTGCGCTTGCTGCCAAGGCCTGGGCTGCTTGGGAGGGGGTGTGTGGCTCCAGGGCTCTCAGCAGGGACCTTGGCCATGGGGGATACCCAGCAGGCTTTGGGCTTGGGATAGAAACTTCTTTTTCTGGAGCTGCCTTTATGGAATGCAGAGGGGCGGTTGGCATCCCCACCCCACACCAGCTGGGGCTCTTTGGCTGACAGCCCTTCCTCTTTACCAGGAGGTCCCAACAGCACCCTGTCTTTAAGGCCAGAGAAGAAGTCCCTGGGGTGTTGGCTGACAGGCTTCAGCACCTCAGTGGGGTAGGCATGAAAACAACCTGAGAAAGTGGGGACTGTGGGGCAGGCGCCCTCCTGCACCTCCACCTTGGTGCTGCCACTGGGGGCCTGCAATCCTTCCTGGGGGGTTAGCTGGTGTTCAGAGTTCTCAGCCAGCCCTCTTAGGTTCTGGGGACTTTCTTGAAGGTCCTTGCTGGGGCTCCTTGCTCCATGGCGACAGCCCTCTTCTTGGCACTGCAAAGCCTCTGCCTTGCTGACCTGGGCCAGCAGCTTCTTTTTGGCCAGTGGTGACATGATGCCATGCGCTCCCTTGCAGTAAAAGCTGGACAAGAGCCGCTTGTAGGCCTCAGGGCAGCCACTAGCACCCATGAATGGCAAAGAGGGTCCAGATGTCGGGCCTAGCTGTTCCATACTATTCCTTGAGGGTGCCTGGCTGGGAAGCTGTGTCAGGCCAGTGGCATCTGATTTGGTCTTTCCCAGTGTAGTCTAGAATAAGAAAAGGCTTTGTTTTAGCCTTTAGTTGGGTGCAGGACTGTGCCTCTAACCTGGAGACCTGGAGGTAGAAGGCCTTCAGAGGGCACCCAGCAGCGCCTCTTCGCCTTTAGCAACACCTTTGGTCAAAAGTTTCCCAAGTTTCCCTGACCAAGCAGATGGAACCTAGTATCCCAGCAATCCCAGCCTAGGGTCCTGTGTGCAGGTGTCAGCAGATCTTCAGAGAACCCCAAGTTCAGCCAGCTCCTGCCCTGGCAGCAGGTTCCTGGCATTCCAAGCTGGAAACAACAGCCAAGGCCAGAGCAGCATTGGGGCTGTGAAAGCAACCTCACTAAGCTTAGTGCTTACCTGGTCCACTTGCCTCTCCGAGTCCTTGGCCTTCTTTGACTTCTCAGTGGTCCCATCATCCCCCCTCAGCTCCTTGGTCATCTTGTATTGCTTCCTGGGCTTGGTGGGGGGCAGTGGTTTGTCATCCTCCCCCTTCAGGTGCCGCACATATGGGAGGACCAGCCTGGGGAAGAGCCAGTGTGTCCAGCAGAAGCCCAGCAGCTGATCTTCACAGCTGGCCTCTGCTGGGCTTCCTTTAAGCCCCTCCGGCTCCTCGCCACCAGAGCTCCTACTGTCCCCAAAGCTGTCTGCTCCTTCCTGCCAGTGCACCACAGCACACACACCACACACACAGGGATGTGCTCTGCAGATCCCAGCCCTGACAAGGACACGGCTTGTGGCACATATACTCTGCCCCCCACCCCCAACACACAAATAGCACAGCTGTCTATATGCTACTGTCTTGCACCTCACTCCCAGCACACACCTGCCAAGGCCCCGGAAGAGGAAGGCCCTGGTAGGTGTACAGCACCCTCTGGGCACCCCATACCTCTCGTAGTGGCGGCGTGTGCATGTGGCTGCACTGGTACTGCCTGGACTGCCCCCCAGCTCATCATACACATTCTTCCAGAGTCGGCGGCCTGTCACCTGCAAGACACCAGAGGAGATGGGCCAATGGATACCCTCTGGCCATGGGTATCCTTTTAGCTTCAGGTACCCCTTGCAGGGAGGGAGTGAGAGCTGAACTTTGGGGTTCCTTCTCCAGACACGGGCAGGATGCTGCCAGGCAAAGCGGGTTTTGGAGTAGGGGGAGGGTGGAACAGATGCAGGTGGGAAGAAAGCAGTTAGAGATGCAAAGTACCCTGTCCCTCCTCCCACAGCATATGGGCTGGACCTGGGGATTCTGATCTTCATCAAGTCTGCAGGCCAGAAAGCCCTCCTGACCACCCTGCTCCCTAGCTCCCCCAAGGGTATGGCTGAGGCTGGAGCACAGCAAGAAACTAGAGAGCCCTTGCTTACCAGCTCATAGGCCCCCAGTTTCTCCACTGCCTTGTAGATCTTCCACAGGTTAACTGAAGGAAAGAGGCAAGACAGGCTGTCAGGCTCTGCAACCCACACACTCCCAGATGGGACCACTGTTATGGACAGGGCAGTCTGGCCTGATGGTCAAGAGGATGGGAACCCAACTCCACCCCTTGCCTTCAGGGAGGCATCGTTCTCATAGGCAACTCCTATAGACTGGTGGCATCCAGGGTTACCTGGAACAGAGCTGCCGAGCCTAGTGTCCTGTCTGGGAAGATTCCCCTGGCTGCCTCCCTAAACCCACCTCCCTGTACCCCTCCCCCCAGAACGCACTCTGCTTGAAGCCAAGATGGGGCACCCTCTCAATGGGTGTGTGTCGCTCCTTCATGAACTTGTAGAGGCTGACCAGGAAAGCCTGTTCCTCCTCCCGCTCCTCGCCTGCCTCTGGAGAGTCCTGGGGAGACAGCAGGAGGCATGGATGGGCCCCACTGATGGGCAGCTGGGCACTGAAAACCACTGCCGTGTGAAGGAATAAGTGCCTAGATCCCAACCATAGGCTACCTGGGAGCACCCAGCCTCCTGCCCTGGGTCACACAAGTACAACTGTGAGCCTAGTGCCCAGGCTCAGGCCCAGGGCTGGAATCTAGAGCCCCAGAGTCCTGACAGGCAAGGCCTGGAAGTGGCCACAGGGACAGCCCCGAGGCCTCCAGGCCAGTTATAACATGCTCTGAACTGTTTTATACATCTTAGGTCCTGGATGGCAGGCTCAGTGTCCCTCGAACAGTAAAAGGCACCTGGTGCTCCCTGGTGCCAGGGGGCTTGCCTCTCTGAGCCACCAGCCTGCAGCTTCCCACTGTCAGCTTGATGGACAGCTGGTAATATCTTTTTTTTTTTTTCCAAGACAGGATTTCTCTGTGTAGCCCTGGCTGTCCTGGAACTTGTTCTGTAGACCAGCTGACTTCAAACTAATGGAGATCTGCCTGCCTCTGCCTCCCGAGTGCTGGGATTAAAGGCGTGAATATCCAGGTTGTTTGATTCACAGGGCGTTCTGCTACAAAGCTGGGTGAGGTCCCACCTTGCCTAGTGCCCAGATCCCTGCATTTTCCAATGTGGGGACCCTAGCAGCTCTGCAGTTGAGGCAGAGGCCTGTCTCCCTCTCAGAGCTCAGGGAGTCTCAGGTTCCCTGGAGGCTGAGCCCAGCAGGGAAGAGGACATGTCCAAGTTACCTCCAGCTGGATGGGACTCTGGCTGCCACTCTGCTCACCATCAGGCTTGGGGGACACAGGGAGCTCTAGGAGGTCACCCTCTTCTGACTGCTCCCCTTTTCCTTTGGCAGGAGGTGCTGCTGGGAGAGAGGAATGAATGAGGAGAGGGCAGTGAGAAGCCTGAAAGAAGAAGGTGGGAGGAGGGGTGTGGCGGCTGAGGAATGGTCCCCTCTTCAGCCAAGGAAGGGGGTAAGTGCTCATATTCCTTCTAGAGTGTCCTCTGCTGGCCAGTCTTGGATACAACACCAGAGCTGTTACACACACACTCTCTCTCTCTCTCTCTCTCTCTCTCTCTCTCTCTCTCTCTCTCTCTCTGGCTCAGCAGGCACCCCTCTTCTTTCCTCTATTCTAGGTACACCCTTACATCTCTGCAGGGGACCCTCAGCCTCATCATTCTTGTCCAGAGTCAAGTGAGAGGAATGTGGGAAGGCTGTGCTTCGGAGACATTCTCTCAAACCTGCCCAGGTTCAGACAGAAAGCATTGCAGTAGCTCATCTGAATGCTATCAAGGCTTCATCTATGAGCCCCCGACCTCATCCCTGCCCACTGTCAATTGCCCCTGTGTAGGCCCTTAGGCTCCAGGCTACCCTCCCTTGCAAGGCCCTTGACGGTGCAAATCAGCTATAAGCCCTTCCTCTGGTTAGCCTTTCCCAGCCCAGCTAACTCCGGCTCTCCAGTCCTTCCCTGGAGTGCTTGTGTCCAGTATGACTGAACTGTGATTGCCTACACCTTGCGAGTCTTCTGGCCCCATTCAAGATGTGTGCCAGGTAAAGGAGAATGGTGGGGGCTCAAGACTTGTGATGATGGCCTGAGAGAAGCCACGCACGCACTACTGTTTAGTGAGGCTCTGGCCTGGGCGGGAGGTTATAAAAGTGTCCCAAATTGGCCACTGAAAAAACAGCAACTCAAATTGCCTCAGGTGATGAGGCTGGTATCAGATTTGGAACCAAACCTTTTTTATTAATTAATTAATTAATTAATTGAGACAGTGTCTCACTGTGTAGCCAGCCCTGGCTGGCTACACATGTAGGAATCCTCCTGCCTCTGCCTCCAGAAGGATAGGCATACAGGCATGTGCTACCATGTCCAACTAAAAGGGAACTTGTTTTGTTCCCATTTTATGAGACAGGGTCTTATGTAGCCCAGACTGCAATTTGCTATGTAGCCAAGAATGATCTTGGACTCCTGGTCCTTCTGCCTCCAACTCTTCAAGGCTGTAATTATAGGCATGTGCCAGCACACCTGGTTTAGAAGTTCACATCTGCTCATCTATTCTTTGTGGTTTGGGGGACAGAGCCTAGGACCTTGTATATTCTACATAGACACAGTTTTAAATCATTTGGGGGGGTAGCATACAAAGAAAGAGATTTTACTGTGGCATTTCTCACATTCCATTATACTTTATTCTTTTCTTTTCTTTCCTTTTTTTTTAAAGATTTACTTATTTATTATGTATACAGTGTTCTGCCTACCTGCACACCAGAAGAGGGCACCATATCTCATTATAAATGGTTGGGAGCCAACTTGTGGTTGCTGGGAATTGAACTCAGGGCCTCTGGAAGAGCAGCTAGTGCTCTTAACCTCTGAGCCATCTCTCCAGTTCCTTCATTATGCTTTATTCTTATCTCCCAACCCACAAAGCACATTCCTTGGGTTTTGAAATAGTCTTGCAATGTAGCCCAGATGTAGGCCTTGAGCTTCTGCTTCCTGTTCCCAAAGTGATTACAGGCATGAGCCATGGCACCCAGTCTGACAACTTTCCCTTTTCTTTTTGCTAGCCTAGTACAATGGAACCAACTCAAGGTTTGTGCCAGCTCAGAAAACCCTTATTTCAGGAAGCTGTGAAATTTTTCCTATCAGCACAGGCAAAAAAGAATCTCCTTGAGGACACTGGTCCCACAGCCACACGACCCAGAGAACCCAGTGTTAGGATGTTAAGATCCTGAAAGGCCCTCTGTTTCACAGTTGTTCACACAAGTGCAGCCATGCATGCCTGTGTTTGCTCACATTGTGCAGGTCCCTGCCTCTAGGTACCTGCATTTGCAGGCATAGCCTCTCATTTAGTCCCAGGAAGGATCCCATTTTAAAGAGAGGGAAGCTGAAGCCAGAGAGGTCATGAGGCTAAGCATTTCCCTAGGGCGCCAGAACTCAAGACAAAGTCTGTCTGACCATTGGTTCAATGGCTTGCTGTGATTATTGTCACCATTGGCAAAGTCCTCATGGAGTGTCCAAACAAGCTCACCGAGACGCTCATCCTAACTCTTGCCAGAGTCTAAAGAGGCTTGGACACTGTCTTAGATTAGCTATTGACATCAGATCGATGGCCAGTCTCCAGAAATCTCAGGAAGTGACAAGTGCCCTCCCTTTTCTACCATGTTCTCTGAAGTGCCACGCCTCAGCCTTTGCTTCTGTGATTGGGGGCGTCTTTTGCCACCTCTGGGTGGATCTCAAGTCTGAGAACCAGAAATATGTCTTAGTCCAGCCCTCCTCCAGCCTGAGGTCTCTGCACACTCCTGTCTCCTTTCCTGCTGCTCCTCAGATCCTGGGCACCAGCAGCAGGGACTCTTCAGCTAGCTCTAGCGTGACCTGGGCTTCTCAATGCTAAAGAGCTAGCATGGCACGGCCCCTGGATCTCATAAACGAACACAGTTGGACTGTGACAACCCCTGGAAGCACTTCAAAGACCGATGCTTATGGGCCTGAGTGGGGCTTCCTCAGAGACTGAAGCTCCCAGGGATCCCAGGGGCTGCAGGGGAGCAGCCACCAGGCAGGTGGTCTCTGATGCTCCAGGATCTGTAAGATCACTCAGGGAAAATATCCTGGAGTAGGGCACTCAGGTTACCTGGAAGGGAAGTTGCCAATCCAAGCTGTTTGGCCCCAAATGGAAAAGGGATCAGAGCTCCCACCCCGAGCCACAAAGGGAAATACTTTCTTTATCACTATGTCCTGAGTCCCCAAATGAACTTAGTGTCCATTCTCTCCTGGCTAGGACTAGCAGCCTCTCTGTCCCTGGCAGGACCTTCTGGGCCCTGACTTTTGCAGCCTTAGATGAGGGGGCAGGGTACCCTTTGTACTGTCCCTGGCAGTCCTAACCTCTCAGTTCCCCAATCATTTATAGATATGGCTTCCAGGTCAATCATTTGTAGGAAAAGGTCTGCTATGAAACCAAAGATTTAGACATTGCCCCTGCCTGGCTCCTGAACCTCCTGCTGCAAGGCCCAAGCATGGAGGAGGAGGCTGGGTCCCACCTCTGGCTCTGCAGGGGGTGGTACAGGATCACCCCGCCTATAAGACAGGAGAAACCCTCCCTTCCCCGTTTGACTGATGCTACCACAGACCAAGACCTTGTCTACTTCAGAGCTTGTGTAGAAATCCTTCCTGGCCAGTGCCTCCATGAGTAGAGAAGAGGACCAATATTTTAAAAAGACAGTCTGCTTTCCACGATATCATTTTATCCATGAAACAATAATGATAATGATAATGAGGGCTGACATTTCCTTGTGCACATATAAACTCTCTCTGGTGTGGAGAGTTGGGGTGTAGGGTGTGAGGTGGAGTCTACCCATGTTTCCCTCTGCTGGGTAGGTGTTTGCCTGTGCTGGTGGAGTGACACCCTCTGCAGTGAGTGAAATGTGACTTTCTCACACTTGACAGAAGCATGTCTGGGATCATCCCTAGACTTTCTATTCTGTTCCTCTCTCTGTGGAGTGCTGGCATCCACGTGCAGTTTTAATTTTCATAGCTTTAAGACAGAGTTCACTACATGGAGGTCAAGTCTCCGTTCGCTATTTCTCTTTGAAGAACACTTCATCTGAAACTTAGGAACTTTAGAAACTTTAGAAACACAGTCTCTAAAGCTGTGGCTCTCAACCTGGGGTCTGGACCCCTTTAGGGGTCAGGTGATCCTTTCACAGGGTCACATATCAGATATCCTTCATATCAGACATTTACATTGCTATTCATAACAGTAGCAAAATTAGTTAGGAAGTAGCAACAAAAGTAATTTTATGGTTGGAATGGCAGGGTTTCACTCCACAGCTTCTTGGGACTCCTTACACCACTGTTCATACAAGGACCAGGGGAGGCTAAGCGATCAGAGTGTGACAGCGTCCCTTCCTAGGCATCAGGTAAGTGGAGAAGGGTGCAGCCGGAGGGCCGCTCCAGCCCCTCCTGGGATTTGACTAACTTCTGATCAATTTCAGAACTGTGTCTGAGGCTGCTAGACTCTAAGCTCCAGTACCAAGGGCCCAGTTTCAGCCTCTCTTTCCAATCAGAGCAAGCTTGCCAAAGCAGGTGTGTTTTCAAGCCACTCCCTATTTCCCTTTCTGCGATAGCCTAGGCTCCATTGGCTGCCTGGGGCTGGGCATCTAACACAAGCCTTACTGAATCTTCCTCCTTTTAACAGATGTCATGTCTGAGGCTCGGAGAGGTTGGACAACTTGCCTCAGGGTCACACGGCTTTCCAGTGGCAAAGCTGAGAGTCCAAACTACAGAAGTCTGATTGCCCCAAGACCCTGAACCCTAAGCTCTAGAGTTTTGTAAATAGTCGGGGAGACCTTCAGCTTTCTCATCTAAGCTCAGAGGGTAGAAACTTACCCACATTGCGTGAGTGGTTCTCTACACACTAATTAAGAATAGGTCAGTGTGGACCACTGAGCCAACCAAGCCAGAATAGGAAGGGGCAGAAGCTCCACCATGTGAATCAATGTGCCTGGCCTTGGAGTCTCCCAGGGGCCCCATCATTGCAATACAGGGTACCATTTGTAACCTGTAAGGAAGGAAAACCACTGGACACTACTGAGAATCCCTGAAGAAGGGGGGACCTGCTCTCTGGGTAGACAATGGCTTTGTGTAAAGGGGGAAGATGAAAGTAGTGAGGGATACCCTGTAGGATTCAGTGAGGCTGTGGGATAGGTGATCTAGAGGCCCCTGTATGCCTGCCCCCTGCCCTGCCAGCCAGTGAGCTGAGATCAGATGAAACCTTGCAGGATGGAGGAGGAGGGGGCTTTAGTACCACATGGATGCCTCTTGTCTATTTGTTTGCTTGGGTCTCTCTATGTAGCCCAGATTGGCCTTGAATTTATGGTTCTCTGGATCAGACTTCCCAGTGTTGGGACTATAGGCATGCTCCACCATGCCATGCAGGGTGTGTCTCTTATCACCTCCATCTCTGCTTCTGTAGGTCTGTTCCCTCATCTCTGTAAGACGGGTGTGCTAGACTCAATGGCCAGTATTCTAAGCTTGAAGAAAGCAAGAAATGAGGCTTTCCCAACAAATCACAAGTGAAAGTGTGCACACACCCATACTGACACCTGCCTGTCCCCATGGTATCCGATTCTCCCTAGGGTCCTGAAAGACTGGTCTAAGTCTGCGGGATGAGTCTCCTTGATCTGGGAACTCTGGTGCTCCCGGAGTGTTCAAAGCCACACACCTCCCATGAGCTGACAGGCTCGCAAGGCGTGGGCACCACTTTCCTTCTCTCTCTTTCATTTGCCTACCCCAGTCACCCTCAGTGTGATGGGAAGGAAGTGACACTTCCTTTCATGAAAACTCACTGACTGGGAACACGACGTCAATTACAACAATAATGGCAGCGGCAGGCAACCTCAATAACAACCAGCAGACACAGCCCCGCCCCCTTGCCTGAGGTTGTTGGCTTAAGTTTCTCTTAGCTCAAGCTGGAGAGGAAACAAAGACAGCCTTTGAAGCGGCCAGTCCACTCTGTGGCCCAGAAGCCTGCTGCCTGGCATTCTTCTCCTTGGGCTTGCTCCAGTGGGCAGTTTGGGGAGGCGGTGGGGGCGGGGTAGTCCTGTCAAGGGCCAGCCTTGAGGACAGCTGGACAGGAGTATGCGGATCCTGAACCAGCCAAAGCCTAGCCTTGGCACCTCTGCCAAGGCAGGGAGAGCAAGGTCTGTTAGTGACTAGAGACAAGATGGGAGTTCTGAAAGGTAAGTAAGGCAGAGAGGGATATATGGGCACCAGGTATGAGAGTCCAGAATCCCAGTGCTACCCAGCTCTGAAATAGTCTAAGAGATCCTACTCCTGGAAGGACTGAGTCCCCATGGCCCCGCCCCTCTGTCCATGTGTTTGGTGAAAACAGCCCTATATATGGATCATTTCCGGTTTTCCCACCCCACCTATGGAGAAAAAACAGAGCTCAGAGGGGTGACTCAACAGTAGAGGTAGAACCCTTACACAGGGTACTTCCCTACCTAACCACTTTTCCATCCTCCTCCCATTCTCCTCGTCCCACCACGGTGGCTGCTACCCCGGTCCAAGAGGGAATGTAGACCATTTATAGACCAGCTTCCCACCCAGAGCAACAGAAGGGCACCAGGAAGGAGTGAAGGGCAAGGAGGCTTGGAAGCCTGGCCCTCACTCGCTATCAGCCTGAGTCTGCCTCTCCGATTCTATGTAATAAAAGAGAGGTGGGGGTTGATTCTGAGGCCCATTCCACCTCTGTCGCTTCAAGTTCTAGGCTAAGCAATCAGTCTGGACTCTAACTGCTTGGAGACCAGACTCTCAAGCTAGCATCTCCCACCCTCCCCTGCTCTGGCATGCTGGTTAGGCACTGAGACCCTTAGATGCGTATCAACTCCCAACAGTGTCCACGGGGCGGGGCAAGGAGCACCTGTTACCCTCCTTTGGCTGCTGTGACCCGTCCTCTGAAACGGAAGACTCTGCAAACAAGGAGATGCAGGCTTGGAGCAGCACGACTTGGGATGAATTTGAGGCCTTCCAGGCCCAGGATTGGCAACCCCACTGCGCCTGTGGGCCAAGGCATGGGGTGTGACCCCAGCCAGGGCATATGATGCCTGGGCGGTGTGGAGGGTCGCAGATGTGGTGGCGTGGTTGTGCCCCTAGTTCGAGCTTGAGATCAAAGCCAAACTTGTTCGTTGTACTCTGGCAGCCTGCCCTTCTGTTCTTTCTCCACTAATCACCCCCAGTCCAAGGCCACCACCCGGTCTCTCTGGAGAGACCCGAGGGAAGAGAGGGTAAGTCAGAAGACCGGGCAAGTAAAAAGGAGCATCTTTCCTGCCAGGGGCTGGAAAGAGAAAGAGAGAAACAAAAAGAAAGGGGAAGGGAAGAGAGAAGAGAAGGACCTGAAGCCTGAGACCGTCAAACCATCAGCACGTCCCTCGGCAGAAAGAGGAACCATTGATTCTTCAAAGTGCATTGAGCAAGTTCTTCAAAACCCGCGCAGTCACTTTCAGGAATCGCGGCCGCAGTGGGAAGCGCGGCGCGCGGCCCGGGCGCCTCCGGTTCTGAGAAGCGCTGGGCTGGCACGGGGCAGGGAGGGGCCCGCGGCCGAGAAGCTGTTGCTGACAGCTGTCACAACAAATGGGCCCAGAGCAGCTTGAGATTGAAACCGCAGCAGGAAGTGTGGGCGGCTCAGTGAATTTCAGTCCAGAGCCGGAGAGGAGAGTTTCGAGATAAACGCCTGGGAAGCCCCTGGCCGCCCCGACTTTCCACGAGGAGAGAGCACACAGACACCCGGGTTGACCCGCGGGTCGCGATCGCTCCGGGTCCCCAGCCCTCCGACCCCGGCGCCGCCCGCCAGCCGCTTACCCATGGCCCAGCGAGATCGCGCGTCGCTGACCGGAGACCCTCGACGAGCGGAGCCGTCCGGCCCCAGCGCTCTCGGCGCGACTGACTCGCGCTGCGGCTCGACTGCCGCCACCCCGCGGTCCCGCCCCTGGTCCCGCCCCACTGCGCTCTGAGCTCCTATTGGTGGATCCTATCTTCTGGGGCGGGGAGGGCTCCGCCCCTTGAGCCCGAGGAAGTCTGGAAGTTGTAGTGTGCGCTCACTTGTCTGCGAGGGGTTCATGATGCACACTCAAGAATCATGGCCGCCCTGGGTCTGTTTCCCTAGAGGCAAAACTAGAGTCTTAGAAAACTGCCCGCTCTCTCCAGCGGGGTTAAACAAAGTGCTTCTGACTTTGACCTCAAGTGGTCCTGGCCAATTCCATACTATTCAGCTTTCATTCACACAGAGAGGTAAGTACCTTTAGCCTACCAGGGTCCAGTCTAGAAAGTTCGTGGCTCAGGCCTAATGCCCTAGGCCTGCCCGCAGTGCCCATGTCCACATATGCCATGTAGACTGAATGACAGCCACAAGCTGAACAGTGCAAAGAGGAAGTGAGGGAGAGAAGGGTGAGGCTTGTGGTGAGTGGGGACAAGAGGAGGCAGAGCAGTCAGTTGGACCTGTGTGGGTCATAGAAGATGAAGCTAAGACTTGGGATTTAAAAGCAGAAAGCCTCAGCAGCCGAAAAGCTTGGACTTGAACTCTGTTCCTAGTATGTAGTTGGTATCCCCAGAATCAAATTCTGTTCATTAATTATTATATTCATATAGCTCTCTGCATTTCACACCATCATTGTCTGCATTTTATAGAGCAAAACAGGCCTGGGAGATTTATTACCTCATATAGCTCATCAATGGTGGGGCTAGAGCTCAACCCAGGAATAGGGACACAGATGAGGAGGGCTCCACAGGCATCCTCCCAACATTTCAGTGCTCCCCTTCACACTGAGCAAGTGGACCTGGCTGCTTTTGGTGACTCTGATCCTCAGGCCCTTATCCATCAGCTCTGGAATGGCAGATCTGCAAGCTCAGCCTGGAGCAGGCATCACTGGGCTTGGTGGGACAATTGTAACAGCCAGCCTTCAAAGATCGGGTAACAGACACACTGTTGTCAATATTTATTAACTGGTCAGAATAATCACCAGAATAACCATTGCAACAGTACCTCCCACATCTAAGATTACAAGCCATACTCCACCCCAAGAGACCTGAATCGGCAGAGATGCTATCTGCCAAAAGATACCACCCGGAAACTTCACAAGCTTCTAGTTCCACTTGTATACATTTGGTAAGGATTGATTGAACCAGCCACAATGCCAGGCTAGGTACAGAGATCTAGATACTGTCTTCGGTGTCATGCTATCTACTAGATTGGACACTTGTATCAGTGAGGCACTCACTACCTTACAAAACCGCAGCTAATCCCACCTCTGGAGAGAAGGACCCTGTCATCCAGTCAGAAGAACATACTCTTAGACAGGGCTGTTTGTGCAAAGCCTCAGCAAGTCAACACCTGTCTGGGGCAACCTGAGAACAATATGATCTAAATTTAATTGTCTCCTGAGGCAACTGTTTGCAACAGAAAGTAACCTACAACAGCTAATAAATCCTGCTGAGAAATGATACCATCTTGGATAGTCTTTTAGAATGTTCCCCACTTATCTTCACAAATACATGTATCCATGGTATGGTAAAACATGTAACTTTGTTTAATGTGTGTTTTAAGCTGATGCAATTCTGGTTGTTTTTGTCATAGAGATGTCTACAGTTAAAACACAGGTCATGTCTCCATTAGCATCTGTGACTGTCTGTGCTTTATATGCCATCTCTCAATAATCCCCCAACCCCCAAATTAGCTTTCCTAAAAGCATAAAACACTCCTGTTACTCAAGCTTCCTTTTACACCCCTCTCCTCCAGCTCAAACCCATCATCCATGGAATACCAGTTCAGGACAGTGTGAACAGTCACTAGCCCCTCCATGTCTTGGTTGTCTCTCTGCCAGCCTCCAGAAGAAAAACAAAACACCACTAATGTGTAAACACAGTCTTCCCAGAAAAAGCATTGAGAATAAATCACTCCTCTCTGGCCCCACCCCAAGTCCAGTTCCCTCCCTTTCCTTATCAGATTGGATAGTCTTTTATTTTTATTTTTTTGGTTTTTTTTTTTTTTTTTTGAGATAGGGTTTCTCTGTGGCTTTGGAGGCTATCCTGGAGCTAGCTCTTGTAGACCTAGGCTGGTCTCGAACTCACAGAGACCCACCTGCCTCTGCCTCCCGAGTGCTGGGATTAAAGGCGTGCACCACCAACGCCTGGCTTGGATAGTCTTTTAGAATGTTCCCCACTTATCTTCACAAATACATGTATCCATGGTATGGTAAAACAAGTAACTTTGTTTAATGTGTGTTTTAAGCTGATACAATTCTGGTTGTTTTTGTCATTGAGATGTCTACAGTTAAAACACAGGTCATGTCTCCATTAGCATCTGTGACTGTCTGTGCCTTATATGCCATCTCTCAATAATCCCCCAACCCCCAATCTTGCTGAGAGAATTCTAGATCTCTTAGAGCCCTCTTGGGGAGAGATTGGGCTAAGCCTACCTTCTAACACCTCACATTGGTCCATCTCTAGGGACCTGACCTGAAGCTTTCAGGCCTGGAAGTCACACAGGAAAGTCGGAGCCACGCTTCATCTGAGCCTTCAAAGCTGTTCAGTGTGCTCAGAAAACAGGACAAGCAGCTCTTCTCCACTGTTTCTGATGTTCCCAGGCTCAGCAGATGCAAAATGCCCCCTGGGGCCTTGTTTTCAAAGGGGAATAAAGTGGGGGAGTATTTTTAACTGTTGGCCCTGCTTTGCTCCCCACTCCCCCACCCCCATGCTAGCTGTCCAGGAAAGGCTTGCTTCACAGTGGCATTTGCAACTCATGGAAAACAACAAATGCTCGAAATAGACCATACCCAAGCCCGGGAATGGAAAAAATGGGCTCATGGTTTCAAATGCGTATTTTAGAAAGAGACAAGAATAGCTTTTGGCCTTTGGGGATGGGCTAGGGATGAGGGACTGGGGAGGTGGCAATGCTGGGATAGTGTTGAGCCCCAGATCACCAAGGGACAATTTCCTAGGAGGAGAGGTATGGTGACTGTCCCCAGGGTACTTAAAAGCAGGTGCTCCAATCTCCCTCTGCACCTCCCAGCTGAATCTGGAACAGCTTCCTGTGTTGGGTTAGGGCTGGCTTCCGGGTAGGGGGCTACGTGGCCCTCTCCCCACCCAACAGAAACCCAAGATGCTAAACTGTCTGCACCTGAAAGGTGACAGTTGAATCCTCCTGGGGTAGGGAAGAATTTGGGGTTTTCATCTACACTCATACACAGCCCAGATGTTCAACCTTGTGCAAGTTGTTTGGGCTCTGAGAGCCCCAGGTGCCTTGTCAGGGAAGGTGGGGATGATGCTGTGCTCATCCATCCATCCATCCATCCATCCATCCATCCACACGTGTCATGTAGTCCTGGCGCCAAGTTAGGTACAGTCCTAGCCACTAACAGACAACAGAGTGCCAGTGCCTGGGCCAGCAGGGGTCCCACCTGATCCCTAGGCACTGGATTTGTCCCCAGAATGCTCTTGGGACATTGAGGGACAGAGAACAGGTGCTGTACAAGTTTATGGGCGCAGCCACAATCTGGAAGGAGTAAGGAAAGGTTGACTGTGCACCAGAGAACCTAGGGCAACTACTCCTTGGTTCCTTGTGTCACAGTTTGTCACAAAGTGGTAAATCTAGACCGGGAGTCAGTACAAAATGAACTGGAGAAAGATCTCAGGTCAGTGTGGCATTTTTACTTAAGATTTCAGAGGGCCCTTCGATCCTGTTTGGATGCTCTTGACTGTTCCTCCCATTTGATAGATGGATAAATTGAGGCATGTTTCACTTAAGTGACTTCTGCTCTCACAAGTTACCCTGGCCAATGCTCAGCAGCTCAGGAATGGGGAGCGATGGGGCCGTGCCCGACCTCATGAGAGAACTGCATCTCCCAGGGTGCCTTGCTAGAGGGGGGCGTGTAGGGGTGGAGTCGCCACTCACACTGTAATTTCTTGGCATTGGGAGGGAAAGGGGGGAGTCGCGGAGGGGGAGCAAAGTAAAGAGAGAATCAAAGCCTCCAGCGTCACGTCTAGGAATAGCCTCGGAGCTGGGCCAAGTCATTATCGACGATGAGTAATCCGGTTAAGTCATTTCTCTAAACACCATTCCTTGTAAGAGAATTAAAATATCAGCTTACATCAGAGCGGGAGAGGCGGGCTCCGGGCCCGGGCAGCAGCGCCAGGAGCGGGAGCGGCTGGCCCGCTCCGCGCTCGGCCTGCCCGGCTTGGGAGCGGAGCGGAGCCGCGTGCCTGGGCGCTGCCAACCTGGCCTAGGCTCCGGCCGAGCGGGAACCAGAGAGTGGGGGCGGGGGAAAGACAGCCAGCCAGGCCTCAGTTTACCCTGCCCTTAAGGGCCCCAGGGATAGTTTGACTGCCCTGCAATGGGACGGATCTGGGTTCCCTCTCAACAGCGCTTCGTCGCTCCTGTCCCGGATGTCTGGAGAGCTTCAGGGGCAAGTTCACAGTGAAGGGCTAGAGACCGAGAAGGGCCCCTAACACCCTGCCGACCTCTCCCTCTAAACTTTCTGTTGTGTGCGGGTTTGAAGGCCTTGATTTTCATCTTTTCGCTCTGCATTTTCTTTTTAGTTGCTTCTGCGCCCTACCTGCCTGTGTTAAGCAGTCTAGGGCCACAACTAGGCTTGTGAAAGGAGAGGATGGCAGGAGCAGCGTCCACTATGTAGTCCAGGCTGCCCTTCAGCTCCAGATCTTCGTGCCTCAGCCTGAGTGCTGAGATTAGCGGCATGCACCAGTACACCCAGCTAGGCAACTTATATTATTTATTATTATTTCTATTATTTTTTCAGTACTGAGGTTTGAACTTCGGGTCTCATGGAGCCTAGGCAAGCAATCCACCATGGAATTACATCTCCAGCTGAGTTAGGTACTATAAGAACTCTTTGTTTTGACAGTCCCCCTGAAAACTCTGTGGCTCTGGAACCAAGCGAACACTTTCCAGTCCTGGCTGCCTCACTTGCAGGTGGTGTGACTGACTTGTCTAATTAGGTTTCCTGTGGCTGAAATGGGTTTAGGATCTAGCTTGCAAGATTACTGTGAGGGTGAAAAAACAGGCCTTCTGGTGATCAGGCTGGCTTGCTGTGTGGAAATAGCCTCTGGCAGAACCAATTCTATGTGTGGATTTGCCTCTTCTCTGTTTCCATAACGCAGTACCACAAAGTGACTGAGTTATGAAGAAGTCAAGTTCATATAGCGTCATGATTCTGAAGGTCTGGGGTTGAGGGCCAGCACCTGGTGATGAGTTTTTACTGACAGAGTCCCAAGGGGGTGGAGGATATTACATGGTGAGAAACCAAAAGCATGAGTGTGTCTCCTCTGGTCTCTCCACAGGGACCCCACCCCCGACCCTAACTACCTTCTCTAACCCTAATCACCCTCAGAGTGTCCTGCCCCTGTAAGCACCGTTGTTTTCATACCCCCAATAGCCAATTTGTGATTAAATATCAACAATATAACCACATACACATATACGCCCACAGAGAGAAATAGAGATACAGAGAGAGAGAGAGAGAGAGAGAGAGAGAGAGAGAGAGAAGAGGCACAGAGACAGACAAACAGATAGATGGAAAGACAGACAACGGATCTCTTTCTTGTACCAGGGACCAAGCCCTGGCCACATGCTCAGCCCTGTTCCCTGAGCACTCAAGGGGAGGCCTTGAGTGGTTCCCAGATCCTGCCCTTGGTGATACCGGCTTGGGCCCTGAGTTTCCTCCACCAGATCAGGGATCCCAGATTTCAAGTCATAGCTTGAAGAACCCTTGGGTCCTTAGTGGGGTCCCAGGTTCTGTCCCAAATGCTGAGAACTGGGAGAGAAGGGGATGTCTTGTTCCTAATCCAAACAATCCCCTTGAACCCCTTGCATGGCTTCAGCTTGGGTATCACAGAGAGGCTGCTCTCATACTTGTTCCTCAAATGGACTCTGGGGTTTTATTTTTATTTTTTTAAGGTCTCATTATGTAGCCCAAGGTAGCCTCAAACTCTTGATCTTCCTGTCTCAGCCACCTAAATGCTGGGTTTAAAGGTATGTACCACCATACCTGATGATAATGAGCTCAAAGAGTCTTTCGAATATAAAAACTTAAGTAAGGTGTTCAGGCTTGGAGGGGTCCTGGCTTTATTGGTGTAAAAACACAAGATCCATTGTTACCTACTCTTCCTACAGCCACCCCCCACATCCCACCCAAGGTCTCTGCTGGGGGGGGGGGGGCGCACAGGAGACCTGGGTTCTGGACCCAGCCTTAACCCAGCAGAGGTGTTAGGTCCTGGAAGGTCCCTGCCTACCTCTCCCTCCCAGCTTCTGCATGCATGTGTCATATTTGTTGGCTTAGGGGCTTTTTATTTTTTTTAAATTTTAAATAAACAAGGACTGGCTGCATGAACACCCTAATATTCGGGGCACATTTTGAAACAGCTCAAAAATCCCCACATCCCCTTGTGAGTCAGTCCTAGGAACAGTAAGCAGAACTGTCGTCTGATACCAAAAAAAAAAAAAAAAAAAAAAAAAATCTGCAAAATAACAGCTGGGCAGCCCTGTGTCTCCAGGGATTTGAGATGAGGACTCAAAAATATTAGCGACCTGCTGAGACCCGGAGGCCCAAGGGCCCCAGAGATCACTGGAGGGAGTACAAAACGTTGCAAAAGACCCCATGTCCCTCTGTCGCCTGTGAGGAAGTCCCACAAGGCTTTGACTTTTTCCTATAAATGTGATTCGAAACTCGTTGGGAAATAGCAAATACTTTCCAAGCGTGTTTCTTTTGCTATTTTGGTGGCTTAAGCACGTGCTGGATCAACGGAGCCTCTGCCCAGTACTCAATGACCAGAGGCACCGACTCAGGCTCTGAGCGCCAGCGCTTGAGCAGATATGGTTTGGGAGCTGCAGGGACAGCCACAGGGGCCATGAGCAGGTCTAGCGGGGACAGCGCCACTGGGCATCTTTTCCCAGCCCCAAGGACCCGCGGCGGGACTTTCGGAAAGCGCTTTCCTTCCCCCGCCGGATCTGAGTCAAAAAGAAGAACTGGCTCAAACCGAAAGAATAATTCGGTTAGCCAAGGCCACCGATATTTCTCTGGGGCCCAAATAATTGCCAGGTAGGGGCTCCAGGGCGGGAGCATCGTGGGCCCCTCGGGTGTCGCTGAAAGCCCCAAGCCCCACACAGTTCCTCTTTCCGCCCCAAAAAGGGGGCAGGAAGGGCTGGGGGCACATAGGGCTGATCAAGGGGACTTTGCATCCTACGGTCCTGGGGCATCCAGAACTGTCCCTCCATTCCCTGGAGACCCGAGGAATAGGGCTTCTGGCAAGGGACAAGGGCTCCTTCTACCCTCCCCTCACCAATATCAAGCAACCCTGTAGGCCATCACAGGACCCCATACCTATCACTATCTACCGGCTTGCAGCACCCTGAACACTCAGTACAGTGAGCGCTTTTCTGAAAGCCTGATTCTGGCGTTCCTGGAGGTGGTGATTATGTCTTTGCTACTCCTGTATGCTGCAGGTGCCTTTTATACCTGAAGCCAACCTGAGAAGAAATCAGTGTTCATTCACCATGCCCTGCCACAAGACCCTTAAATCTGCTTCAGGTCCTTTGGCTTGGTGATGAATGTCCTCTCGACATCATTCAGGTCCTCACTCAGAGGTCCCATTAACCATTACCTATCTCACATTCAAGCATTATTTATTATTTTAATCGAATC